GCAAGGGAAGAGGCCTAGCCCGCCAGCCCCGAGCCCCCCGAAGGAGGAGAGGCCACTCAACGCCACCGCAGGCCGAAGGAAACGACCCGAACGCCCACAAATCGTGGGACCAGGCATGAGCGAACAGCACAAGCCTCCCCACCCCCCATCGCCCCATCAATGGGGTGAACCGCGAAAGGACCGGTACCCCTTACGAGACCCCAAACCTTGCACAGAGCGAACACTGCACCGACCAGACAAAGGTAGGTCCGAAGGAGGGGCCGGACCCATAACTGGCACCAGCGGCCTACCTTGACGAGAGGAACCCCTAGTCCTGGCACGACCCCTCCTGGAAGGCCCCCGGAGAACCAACAAGTCAGACATAGGACGACAACCAGCTGAAGCAGCCTGCAAATACTGCGCCGTGGCAGAATCCGCAAAAAGAAGAGAACAAAACGGAGAGGACATCCTAAGAGCCAGGGCCCAGGCTGATTCCAGAAAGGAGGCAAGCACCGCCAGCCAACACCTGAGCCGGGAAGCATAAAACAGCGAAACTGCATTCCACACGATCAGTGCAAAGAGCTTCAATAAGGCAGCCACTGAGCGAACAGCCGAGCCCATCGCACCGGACCCAGGAATGGCCCCAAGCATCCCCACATCCTCAAGCTTGGATGTGGGGGATGTTTGGGGCATCCCAAGCATCCCCCACATCCAGGCTTGATGTGGGGGATGTTTGATATCTCAAACATTATTGAAATCTCTATCATCTCCTTTCTATTGATTACATTTGGAGAGCTTTGAGACGATCCCAATAATTTAGGTGTTTTATCGCATCTATGCTTGCCGTTAATGTTCTCTGCATTCTCTCAATTTCATTCGCAGCTGGTAATCACCCACTGCAATACCAATGCCAAACACTGGCATTTCCCTCCTTTGGGCCTTGACAGTGCCACATATGCCGGTATTGTGGTCAAGGATGAATCTAGTCAACAAAGGGCTGGTATAGTAATTGTCCATGAACAGGACATGCCCCTTGTTCAGCAACAGTTCCTAGAGTGATTTGACAACACTGCCGGAGAACCCCGTGTGGATTTTGACCTGGTATGTCAACATCTGTACCTGAATACAGTATCATGTCCATGACAACACCAGTTTCGCAGTCACATAGGACAAAAAACTTGAGTCAAAACCGTCTAAACACCACGGCCAACACCACTACAAGCACCAAAAACACGGCTCCGTCGTCTTGTGCTAGAGCTGCACATAGATATGACAGATGAGGAAAGTATTCTGCGTAGTGTAGGCCTACCACGAACTCCTGATGTGGAGTTCGATGAATGCTTGCATCGGAGCCTATGTCACTGAAGCCCGAGAACAATTCATCACACGTACTATCGCTGAATAAACTGGCATCAGAGGACACACATGGTGATGGTGACTCTAGCGGTGTTGACCCAGGACAACGAGGCAGGCCGGGTGAGGCGTGTGTACTGTACACACTCGCAACCACCTCCACCTCATCTGCCCCCACCCCCCCCACTCGTGTCAGACCTCTGTGTTAAGGACTTTCTCTGGATCGTAGTGTAAATCATCATCCATCGCTCCATCATCAAACATTATGTTGTGTATTTTCTCCTCAGTCATTTTCCTCAACCACGGCTAACCGTGGACCGGGAGCTTGTATACAATGTGTCAGACATGGTTGCTTTCTTGAAACTGAGGGTCCCCACGGCCCTGGATTATGCTGGGATTTTTTTTTTTCAAAATTGCAGACGATCCCTGGGGCCCTCGGGCATCCATCTTGTACCCGTGTCACCGCGCGGCAGTTTTGAATGTTACGCTATACAGTACCTATAAGTTACCCGAGGCGAGTTGTGCACCACCCGTCGAGAGCCTCAAGGCAGTACAGAGGTTATGGTTCTCATTTTTACCATACCTGAGTACCTGGAATTTATCACTGTTAAACTGAATTAAATTGAATTGAATTAAATTAAATTGAATTAACCTAGCAAGGGTTAAGGGTCCCAGTCCCCCACCCTGCAACCCAACATCTTCTGAAAGCCACTGCACCAGAAGATAGAAGTATTGCCAAACAGAGGTCAAACACCTAGGAGTGCGAAGGTCATCGGCCACGAGATCAACCGAAAGAGAGGTTCTTGAGCACTCAACTGCACCAGGCCAGCATCATGGGAAGCGCAGGAGTGAAGAGCCACTCAATGAGGCACCCAAAAGAGCCCCCCCAAGAATACCTGCAACACCGTCGTAACCTCCCACCACTCAAGCATGTGGGTTACAACAAAAGCCGCTCCAAACTCAAAGAGAAGAGACAGTCTGCCAGCCAAGAAGACACCAGAACCCCATAACGCACCTTATATGGGGGAGAAGTACCGAACGCAAAGGAAGTCGGAACCACCATGAGGGCCTAAATCGGGTCCTGAAGGAGCCAAGTGCTGAAAGTCTCCTGAACCTCCACAGGGGAAGACAGAGAGGAAGAAAGCCCCCGAAAGAACGAATCCAAGGAATCCAAAGGCACCTAGAAACGAACTAACCAAGGGTGGAGCCCCAGTTCGCGCAAACTCAAAAGAAAAGGAGGGGTACGAAAACCCCCACCCTACAGAAGATCCTGCAAAGAGGAAACAAGGGCCCAAGCGGGATCAAACGGAACCACAAGAGCTCCACACAGACGAGCCCCAAGCCCCGGAAACCATTGCCAAAGGCCCTGGGGCAGAGCCCTCATCTATGCCCACTGCCTAAAAAGGAAAGGCAGAGATCAGGGGAAAGGCTTTGAAAAAGAATGTCTGTTAGCTTCAAAGAAGGAAGAAACCTCATCGGGAAGGAGAAGCTCAACTACCTCTGTGACTGTATCAAAAGGGATAGCCCTGAAGTCAACAAAGCTAAACCCCACCCCCCAACTCCGAAACCATCAGACAGATTTGGAGCCAGCAGCTGGATGGGGTAGAAGGACAAATCACACCCATCTACGAAGGAAGAGTGAACTGAGCCAAGGCCAAAGCAACCAATGCCCTCAAATCCAAGTCTCTGAAACCCAAGAAGGGCAGCTCAAGGAGTTCCAAATGGGCACACAACCTGGCAGGTTGCATCATAGAGAAATTGCTATGCAACACGACTGCAGCCTGATCCCGCAGAATATCTAATGGGGGGATGAAGGAATTGGAGCACAAGCTGGGAACAAGTCCCGTAAGACACCGGGTCATAGGTTTCCTCGACCCAACAGTCATCAATGGCAGAGGCAAAGTGAATAATCACCACCCTGAGACAGGAGCGACAAGCAACCTTCAAAATCGCACAAGGCGAGTGCAGACTCAGAAGAGGTAACCATAGTACAACCGAGCCCAATAGAGGTTTTCCAGCGCCTGTAGGGTGAATGAGCCCTACAGGAAGCCCAGGAACTGGGGCCAGCACCACACCCTATGCATAGTCTAATCCGGTGAAAAGTAGAACTCCTCTGCCAAAAAGGCGAAAAAAAATTGCCGGTAAATGTGAAACCACACTAAAAAAAAAAAAAAAAATTCACAACAGCAAACAAGCAGTCAGAGAGAACCATCGGCGTACCGTTTGATAGCTGAAAATCAGGCTGCACCAGCCACAATGCGCCCCACCAGCCAACAAACACTTCCCCAACCAAGGCAAGACAAAGCCCAAAGCCCTCGACGCACCCCAAGGGCAAAGACAACCACAAGCGAGGAAGTCCTCTAACGGAGTGATTCCCGAAAGCTCCAGGGAAAATAACCCTGGCCACGCAAGGGCAGTACTTATAGAGCACCTAGGAAAGGTGGCCCCTAAGCGTATGCTCCTCCAGTACTTTTAAAACTCCTGGCTACATGCACACCTCCATTTATAACTCCACCGCAAGGGCGAAAACTCCAAAGAAAATGGGAACACGTAGCCAGAGCAACAGAACTCGGCACAGCATCAGTCTAAGAACTGACTGGAGGCAGCCCAGCTCACCCAAGCCAGCTCCCCCCTCCCCCCCTGGTGGTGCTAATGAGCAGGGGTTAGTTGGATGAAGTTTTGCTTATTTGTTTCCTTTCTGGGGGAGTTCTTTTGTTCTTTTTCACATGGAAAATAATAGAGGGGCTGGTACCAAACCTGCACAAAGAAATAACACTACATAAGACCAGGTTGTGACTCATACGTCAGGCTGCAAGCAGCTGCATCCAACAGCCTGGTCTAGGACCGGGCCACGGGAACAATAAGCCCCAAAACCATCTCAAAGTAACCCTCAAGGTAATGTAGGTCACAATTTTCAATCAGGCATTGGTCTGTTTTGTTTTGCCTACTTTTCTTGGTGCCTTCCCTAGTCAATGGCAAGAATTATATACAGTACTTTAAATGTAGTGATCATTAGCCATTGCTCTCTGTGCCTTTCTGAGAGGGGCCAGGTTCTGGCTCTGGTCCCTGGCAGGCAACAAAGAATTCTGCCACTGATGACACTCAAGTAGTATGGCACTTGGTCACAAAGAACACCTGCAACACAGAGGACACCACTTGCCTATTCAAGCATACAAGTACGAAAAGAGCCACGCCAAGCCCCGAGGGAGAACAGCGGACAGTTTGCCAGCCAGGAAGATTCCGGAACCTCAGAATGCATCCAATAAGGGAAAGAACCGAACTCAAAAGAGGCCGGATCCATCACCGAGGTGTAAACCTGGTTTCGCAGAAGGTATGCACCGAGAACCTCCCGAACTTCTGCAGGAGAAATCTGAGAGGAAGAAAACCTCCAGAAAACGTATCCAGGGAACCCAAAGATACCCAAAAAAAGAGCCCTGGAGAAAGCCCCACCCAACACATACACATAAAGGAAAGGGGATACGTAATCCCCCTGCAGAAGCCACCCCTACACACAACCTAGAGCGTTGCAGGACACGAAAACCGGTGATGCAAAGCTCTCACTGCTTGAAACTCCCGTTTGTCCAGAGGAAAATGAGTGACCGTGAGCACATGGGGGAACAAGTCCCACATGACTCTGGGCCGAAAGTGTCACCGACCTAACAAGCAGCATGGCGGAGGCAGAAAAGACAATCGCCACCCTGAGGCAAGTGTGACAAACAGGGCTTAAAGTCAAACAAGGCGAGAGCGGACTCGCAAGAGGTATCCATAGTATAACTGAGCCTGCAGGAATTTGCCAGGACCTGTAAGGTGATTGAGCCCTACATGAAGCCCAGGCATTGGGACCAGCTATGCGAGTAAACCCTGTCAGTGCAGGCAAACTGACTAAGATGCCACAGGAAAGCCCAGGGGTCAACAGTTCACCCAGAAGTGAATGGGTACCTGGTTATTTAACGATTTGGCGGGTCATATTCCAGGGAAAATTAAGATTAAGGACCTGCTCAAAATGCTATGCATGCTAGCTGCTTTACAAGAATGTAAGAACTCTTGTATGTATTTACAAATAAAATAAACAAAAAAAATAAGTAAGCAAGCATAGGAGGACCAACTCATACACCCTAGGCACAGCCTAATCAAGAGAAAGGCAGAACTCCTTCGCCGAAAAGGCGAACAAAATCGCCAGAAAGTGAAAATTCACCTCTAAAACCCCTGAGACTTCACAACAGCAAACAAGCAGAGAGCCCCGTCGCTAGCTGAAGAGTGCTATGCTGGCTGCAGTGCACCCCACCAGCCAACAAGCACTTCCCTACCCAAGGCAAGACAAAGCCCAAAGGCCCTGATGCACCTGAAGGGCAAAGACCACCACAAGCGAGGCAGTGTTTGGGACAGTGGGGAGCGAGTTCCAAACACCCCAGGGAAGAAAACCCTGGCCACACAGGGCACACAGTACTTATGGAGCACCTATGGAAGGTGACCCAAAGCATATGAAGCTCAAGTACTGTATACTCCTGGCCAATGCACATTAGAAACAGCTTGTAGAATGCAAAACACCAAGAACAGGAAACTGTGGCCAGAGTGATGTGATGACCTCCAGGCACATCAATCAAGAACTGACTGGTAGCTCCACTTCTCCTCAAACAGGGGTGGTGGAGATAACGAGCAGGGAGTTAGTTGGACAAAGTTTTGTTTGCTTGTTTTCTTTGTGGGAGAGTTCTTTTAATAAATTAAATTAAATTAAATTAAATTTTGTATTCAGGAAAAGTACATACATAGATGATGAGTTACAAACAATGATGTTGGATTTATAGAGCTAGTACATAAAATACCTAAAGCCACTAATACGCATAGCGTTTCGGGCAATATTTTGAGGGCATAGGTCGCATTTTCAACCAGGCAGTGGTCTGTTTTGATTCTGGGTGCCTTCCTTGGTCGATGGCAAGATGATAAAATTTAAATGTAAAATGTTTATGAGCCATTGCGCCCTGCACCTCTGTGAGGGGATGGGGGGCCAGTTTCTGGCTCACAGTCCCAGGAAGGCAATACAAGAACTCTGTGATTGATGACTCCACGTAGTGTGGAACTTAATCAGTAAGTGCCTTGTAAGACTTCAGTAAGTCTTCAGGAAGCCGACAGACCTCCCCACAGAAAAGGACACAACACAAGCCTGAACCCAGGCTGGGCTTGGGGAATAGAAGAACTCTTAAACCAACTGAAGATAAATAAGCAGAATATAGTGGGGTGAGGATATGTATGCAGTTCAGTAATTTAATGTTAGGGAGGCTTAATTTGACTCCCCTGCAACTTTTTGAAAATGATTTGTCTTGTTCTGTCAATATAATGGTCCAAATCAATGTTGTTACCATTTTATATTTATTAATACCAATATTTCCTATTACAATACAGTACTCTAAAAGAGATATATATAGGAGCCAGACATTCCGCTAGGGGCGCTGCTATGATTGCAGCACGGCCATTTGTGCAAGCGAAAGTCCATGGAGGATACACACCAACTGTAGGAAAAATGCTATGTTAGTTTAGTGTTCATTTGGAAGTGTATTTCGTAAGTTATTGCATGAATGAACGACTCAGTTCTGGCAGATTTACACCCATTCACATAATAGTTGAATCTCAAGGCTGACCTACCTTGCGGTTACCTTGCAATAGTTCCGAGGTTCAACATCCCCGTTGCCCGGTCATCAACCAGGCCTCCTATATGAGGGCAGTCATATAGGCTGCCTCCTTTGACCTGCTCAAAGTTCTATGATACTGTGTTAAGCTTAATATATTTCAATTAAGTCTTGTACACCACAATATGCTATTTAACCTTTGAATCTGAGAAGGTTTTGTAGGGGATTATGCTTCAGACACAGTGAACAATTTTGGTTAACATGTTATCTCTAGTAAGCTTCATTACTGGTGGCATTTGCTGCCATTTTCTGAGCATTAAAACCCAACAGGCTATAATATTCAAAGACAGCACTTTAAATACAATTCAGTATGTTAAATGCTGCATTGTACTACTGTACACTGATACAGCACCTTCTTGTGTTATCATAAAAGGTTGGGAGTCTCTACACTTCACTGTTGCACCAAAAAAATCTACACAAGATTGAAATTATGTACTATAGTTGCACATGTACTCAGAGCACAAGATAAAGATGACAACTAAGTACATTGCTTTGCTATTCTTTTGTCATTAAATACAAATTAAATACCCTGTATGGATAAACAAAAGGGCATTACAAGAGTATAATACTTCTACAGGCCACTACAGCTAAACCACAAGAGCTAGAGCCTTTTTATTTGGATTTTTGTGCTTCCTGAAGGCTAATTAACAATGTCATAAGAAAAAATAATTTTTTCAGAACAATTTTTTTCTTGAGTGCCCTGGAGATGTTTGCTATTTAACAGTTAGTGGTTTAAGGGTTAATTGGCATCAGCATCGTGATTTTTTTTTTTTTTTTTTTTTTTTTTTTTTTTTTTTTAAGATATATATACAAGAGTTGTTACATTCTTGTACAGCCTCGGTGCGCATGAAATAAAGTGTTCTCAAAAAATTATTTTTTCTTCGTAAAATGATAAATTCCCTTCTCTGAACATGTCTATGTAAAAATAAATACCAAATTCCACTTACTTTGGCTGTGGGGACGTGGACAAGGTGCGCTGTGACGTCATCAGGGCCTGGTCGCTCGTGCGTGAATCGCCCAGACACTGTCACGCAGGCCATTCAAACACCAGGTATTGCCACAAATATATTTTCAATTATTTGTTTTATGTACTGTATTTCCAATGCAGTTTTATTTGTTTTTTTTTATCATATATGATGCATATTTGTGTCCTTTACAATATGTATACAGTAGAACGTTCATAATGTTCCATGGAACTATGATACATGTGTCCGCAATAAATGTTTATTGTCGCAATATTACCTTTAAAAATTCACTAAAATTACAATATGTACAGTTTCACACACTATTTACACAGTAACACACTGTATTACACACTACCAGGAGTAACAGAAATTGATAAAATCGATAGGGAAGATTTCCTGAGACCTGGAACTTTAAGAACAAGAGGTCATAGATATAAACTAGCTAAACACAGATGCCGAAGAAATATAAGAAAATTCACTTTCGCAGAGTGGTAGACGTTTGGAACAAGTTAGGGGAGAAGGTGGTGGAGGCCAAGACCGTCAGTAGTTTCAAAACGTTATATGACAAAGTGCTGGGAAGACGGGACACCACGAACGTAGCTCTCATTCTGTAACTACACTTAGGTAATTACACTTAGGTAATTACTCAAAACCAGAAATGACCAACAAGAAGCAGAAATTAGGCAAGCAATTAGGAAAGAACTGGTTATCTTAGAGAAGGAAATTTCATCTAGGGTGGACCGAGCAGCAGAAGAGATGAAAATCATAGAGAAAATAGTAGGTTTAGGAGAAGGCACAAAGGAAAATGTCAGTGATTTTAGAAGAATAGGAAAATATGAGAAAGACAAGAACCGCCCTTTAAGGGTGACGTTTAATGGAGTGAAAAACATGATGGAAGTGCTTAGAAATGCAAGGAAATTGCAGAGTGATGAGGTTGGCAAACTTTGGTTAATAAGACAAGACCTCTCCAAGGAAGACAGAGAAAAGCTGAAAATGAACCTAATTGAGGCAAAACGTCTAAATGGGGATAGAAATGAAGAAGACAAATTCTTTTTTCTACAAAGTGACAGGGACTGGAAAGCTTGTGAAATGGTACATAAAAACAAAGCAACAAGATCAGTAGTGGAAGGGGGAGTAAAGAGCAAAGGAAATACCAACATAGATGGAGTGAGGTCAAAAACTTTGGAGTTGCAAGATATAATCCAGCTTAGGGTCCCAGATATTGTCGCATTATCAGAGACGAAACTTGAAGGAAATATAATAAATGAAGTCATATTCCCAAGAGGCTATTCAGTTTGGAGACGTGACAGGAAAACTAGGAAGGGAGGAGGAGTGGCTGTACTGGTGAAAAAACACCTGAAGGTAAGAGAGTTAATATTTGAAAACCCTCGAGATATTGACATAATGGCATTGCAGATCTGGAATCAGGATGATAAGCTGATAATTTTAAATGCCTACAGCCCACCAGCAAGCAACACATGGACAAAGGAAGAACTGGATGACAAACGAGAGGGCCTCATAATGGTCATGAGAGATATTATTGTACAAGCAGATAAAGATAAATCACGACTGTTGATACTGGGGGACTTCAACTTTAAAGCAATAGACTGGGAGGCCTATGAAGCAAGAACGGAGGACTTTTGGACATGCAGATTTGTGAACCTCATTCTGGAGACATTCTTGTATCAACACATAAAGCAGGCCACAAGAATGAGGGAAGGAGATGTACCATCAGTACTGGATCTAGTATTCACCAGGAAAGAAGAAGAGATATTTGACATCCAGTACCTTCCTCCCTTGGGAAAGAGTGATCACGTCCTGTTAGACATTGATTATGCTTTAAGATATCATCTAGAAGAAAATGGGGACATTGAAACAGTTGATAAACTCGATTTAAGGAGAGGTCACTATGGGGAACTTCAAAATTTTTTTAATGAGTGTAATTGGAGAGACTTGTTGCTAGGCAGGGAAGTAAATGAAATGTATGCCAAATTTTGCAAAATATACGATAAAGGCACACAAACATTCATACCAAAACAGAGATGCAGGGCCAG